GCTGTATTGCATTCATGTTTGGGTCACTATGACAATTATTTTCTTGGACTGATTCACATTTCAAAGTCACCAGTGAAGTGGAATCTTGACAGGAGTAGCAGCTGCAAAATTCCCATGCTTGGAAGTGAGGGGAGAAGATTATATCTATTTGCAGTTCCATGTCAGAGGCCGGACCAAGCCAGCAAGCTTCGTGCAGAGCCTCCCTACTGGGCTCTTAGAAGCACAGGCTGGTACTTCCCAGTGCTGCATATCTGAGTCTCCCAAAATGACACCTTCTTGGTTTAAAAAATGGGGAAGGAACCCTGCTCCTGGTATTTCTGTCAGGAAATAACTGTCAAGATGGTTGTTTAGGTATTATCATAAAAACAAAACTTTCTTGTTGGGAACTGCCTGCGCTTGACACTCAGATTTTTGGCCATTCAGGAACTATTTTTAAACTTTGTCCCTCACACATTTATCTTGTCAAAAAGAGACGTGGAAAATCAGCAGCTCCGGGAAGACTTCTGAATGCTCGGCTGCCCGTGTTCCCCGGTGCTTTAGAGCGAGCGTGTTCGTGGTGCAGATTCAGTCAGCGACTGCTCACATCTCGCGCAACGGGAGAGGTTTGAATGTGCGTCCTAGGCGGAACGCGCTCCTCTGCTGTCCAGCGCTATACCCGAACGCCAGTGTGGGACTCACAGCCAGTAGAGGACTGGGAATTATAACCAGCTTATTACAAAACTTGCTCAACTTTTTATTTCTAGCTCATGTGGTTAAGACTGTTGCTTGCATTGTAAAAGAGCAAATCATGAACCAGCTTCCCTGCTTAGTGTTACTTTCTGTTTCCCAGGCCTGGCAGGGCAATACTTCACTGCCTGCCATGTGTCCTGCCCAAGGGCAAGACTTGGGCCACGATACCTGGCGGGTCCGTCTCAGCAGGGCCCAGCCCTCGCGTGCTCGCTGGCAGCCCGATGAGCAAGCCCGATGAGTGGCCCTTCCCCTCCGAAGCAGCTGCTCAGGGAGAGTCTGCTGCCCTTGAGTTCAGGGCCAACCCAGAGGAGCCTGGTGCGAGGGTGGGGGCAGGGGCAGAAAGGTTTAAGAAAAAGCCAGTAACTGCTTCATTAACGTGTGACCCTGTTAAAAATATTTCAAAGCATTTAACAGCTCTGCCCAGAGATGCTGGGAAGATCTGACAAGAAATTGTCAGATTGCCTTACAAATAAACAAAAGGCCCCGAGGACAATGTTTGCCCTTCTGGGTTTCTGGGTGAGTTATGCAAAGTGTGGGAGGAACTGGATGAAATGTAACCTCACTTGCTTCCTGCAGTCCAGTTAAGTAGCCGTGGCCTTAACCAGGAAAAAGAAATGATCCAGTATTGGCCATCTTACCTATTGGCATGAGATGGTGGGGAATGCCAGTCCTAGCCCCGTATTTCTGATTCTCAGCCCACCAGAAGCTGAGATGCTTTTTTGCCTGGTCCCTGGGGAATGGGTTGGGTTTAAGCTGGTTTAATATTGACAGTTTACAGGGACGCTTTTGTGAGCAAACATACCGCAAACTTCAAAAATAACTTGGGCAGGTTTTTCTAAACCTGCTAAAAATATGAAACCCAACAAACCACTCTGCATCTTTCTTAGGAGGGAACGGTTTGCTCAGGAATGTCCCGTCTGTAGGCTCCATGACGTATACGTACGTGGTGCACTGCTTTCCTGCGCGGCTCCTTGCTCCCCGACAAACAGCAAGGAAATGGAAGGAACTGGAGTTGGCCAACCTTGGCCAATTGTAATAGCTGATGTGAAATTCGGACCCTGGATGTTCTTCAGTTAAAATACTTGCTGTTTTTGCATAAGCAAGAAGACAATTTCTAGAGACAGAGATAATTCGTAAGTTATGTAATAGCTGAGAATAGAGAAATCTCAATACACTGCTATTTTACGTGTCTCCAGAGAGCTTCAAACACAGCAAAAACACCGAAGCAGCTCTGGAAGAAATACTTGCTTTAATGCCATGTGCTGCAGTACGGTTCTGCTTTCTGCCCAGTGGGCAGGAGAGAGCTCTCGCTGGGAGTCTGGGCTGCCTCTCGCAAGGCATCCAGCCAGTGCTTCAACATGAGGATGCAATCAGCGTGTTCATTACCCTTCAGACAGAGAAGGGCATTTTTAAGTCACATGTTAATGGTTTTAACTGCTCCTTGCACTACTCCTCATGGTTTTAGGAAGCAGTACCATCGCTTGTAAAATTTATTCCAACTCCTCCAGTTATTTCACAAAGAACTGTCTGGCCTCTCTCACTCTCTGCTTGCTCACGTGCCAGGATGTGAAACCAGTGTATACTGGACATATTAGTGTTACTGCAGAATTAGCTCTACTTATGAATTTGAGGGAGAACCACTCTAACACTAGTCTTATTCTGGGCAGACTGCTACTCCTAGAAAAGGTGCCATGCATCCGCCAGTTGAACTGATGCAGCCATTGCGATAGGAGAGTCTCCTCTATCGCTGGTCAGTGGGGATTATCCTGCTCTGTGTGGGATGTCAGCTTGCTCTGAGGGGTTTCCAGTCTTCTGCTGTGTTGGCTTTGTATCTAAGGTCGCTAAAACCCAGACACAGATAGAGGTTTTCCCATACGTCCTATGGGAAAGAACGTCTTTCCAATTTATTGTTTCCATAGCAGTGAAGAGATGCAGGTTGTAAGTTGCAGTAAGAATTCATGATGTTCCGGGATGGGGCAGGGGTTCTTGCATTTTCAGAAGTAGCCAGTACTTGGGGAGTTGGGGATTGAAAGCCAGGAAGGCAGTACTTTTCACTTTGGCACAGTCACCTGAAGCATTGCTGAATAACCTGCAGCAATTTCTGCAGCTACTGAATCATCATGACCCATTTGCTCCTCTTGCCTTATTATCTCTCGGAAGTAATAATCTTGACACCAATTTGCTGAGCCTAATTGCAAGCAGCAGATACTTATTCTGATGGTCTTTCCTTGGCGATGTCAATGCTTTCAGACCCAGGAGCAGGGCCGTTTCACCTTTCAAATAGCTCTGTTTGTCTCAGTGGCATTATTTACATGCTAGTCTTCAAGCAGTAGGCCTGGTGTTTCACTGCTGTGCTGTTTTTGGGGTTTTTTTTTTTTTAGGATAGGAGTATAGGATGTTGTGTCTTGGCCAAATTCCATGTTGGCAGATGCACATGCTTTCAGTGGGCCTTGACCATCATCATCTTCATTTGTTATCATGTGGCCACTGGAGCAGAGCATTTGTCACTGGGTAAAGTAACCCTGCTTCCCCTTTTTAGCTAGTGCCTGGTGTTCCTATCCTCCAGTGTCACCTGCCAAGTCTCCCCGCCTCCTCCTTTCACACGAAGGCCATCCTTCTGCCTCGCACTTGTGTGGGTAGCACTTTGATCTTGGACCCTGATGTTGAAGACTATGCTTCCCTTCATCAAGCACAGACCAGTCGTCGCCGACTCCCACAACCACCTTACCCTTCTCTCCCCTGTTCTAAATCTCATTTACAATTCAGCCCTTCTCTTCTTAGCCCATACCCACATCACTAACAAAATTAAAAAAAAAAAAAAAAAAAGCAGACTGCTAGAGATCCTGACAGGAGAGCAACAAGGGATGACCAGAAAGTCTACCATATTGCAGCCACAGCCAACTGAAGGGGAGTCAGTGCCTAGCTAACAGTTGCTTCTTGTAGAAAGTAAGTGTCTCTTCTATTTGCTTTGATTGCACTGTAATGGTCCTCCCACGCTTTTGCTCTGTATGTACAACCTTGGTCTTTTGTGGCAACCCCACACAAATAGAAAGGAGAAGAAAAAAAAAGAAGCCTTTGAGGGAAATGCTCTCACCTCTTCTTTGTGAGCCCCCACTGTTGCACTGGAGAGGAAGGAGGGCTTTGGTAATTTTCATTTGCACACAGCAGCAAATCCTGAAGGTCTTCTGAGGAGGCTCTTAAAACTGTTTTACAAGCTATTCATTCCATGGAGTTGGGGGGGGGAGGGGGGCTTGGAAGTGAAACATGCAGTTTCCCCCTTAGGTTCCAAAACTGAAAGGTAATATGGAAAAAGTGGAAGCAAATTTGCCAACAGTTTACAGTGCATGGGAAACAATACAACATAGTGAGGTGGTCTTGCTCTTCCCTTCCTCCCTCCCTCTGAATATTTCTAACCACCAAGATTGGAGGGTAAAGGAGAGCCTGCACCTCCAAATGATTGTATGTGGCCATAACATGTTCTGAGCCTACCCTGGCTTTTACCAGTGCAGAGACTTCCCACCAGTTCTTGGTTTCACTGCAGCTCTGAAGACTACTAGCTGATCCAGTCCTAACTATGACTGCACTAAGCTGAAGCTCAGTTCCCTACAAACTTACTTACAAAATCCTTTGTTGCTGTTTGACCTTCAGTGCTGCCTGCTGAAATGGTTCATCAGCCTACCTGTGTTACAGTGTGAGCCACTCTGTTCAACCTAGGCTTCACTGGGATGTTCTGGCTCAATATTATTTGTGATGCAAAGTTAACTAGCAGCCTCACCACCAAGGGCAGCATTCAGCAACGTTCCTCTGAGCTGCAGCAAGAATGAGCTCAGTCTACACCCCAGTGCCTTGCTCAGCCGACAAAGACGGTTTGTTTCAAAGGAGAATATTCCCTTGTCCCCTACCCAAACTTCTCTCTCAAGAGAGATAGCTTGCAGAGGCCTTGTCTCTCCTACTCCTTTTCTTTCAGTACATAGAGCGGCATGGTGCTCTGTGTGTACGTGTAAGTAACGATGCACAGCTAGGGATGGGGGAAAAAAAACAGGGCTTAGATGCTGACAGGGATTTGTCTCTACTCACGTAAAATTTGTAGCAGGGCCTGAGGCATTAAGTCCATTACTGACCAGTCCCAGTACCCAAAGGTAGCTATTTACATAGCAGCTGCATGACCATTCTGCAAATCAGGGAAGTCACATTTTCCCTGGGCCTTGCCAGTGACTGGTAACGAACATGCTGAGTGTTGCTGGCAAGCAAAGATTAACCACATCACTGCAGAATGGGCTTGATACATTTTATTGGCAATACTAGTGTCATACTCAGGAACCACAACCCTTTGTCAGACTGTTAGTGTTAACTTGCATGACAAGTATCAGCAACCAACTGTATTTGAAATATTGTTTAGGTGCCTAGAAATAATAGGCATTTAAAAAAAAGAAAGGAAAGGAAAGTCATTTCATCCATTCAAGCCAACCTTTACAGATCTTACGTCTTTAGCACAACTGATGTACTGTAATTGTTATGTGGACTTTAATGTAACCTCTACAGCAGCACACAGACAATGCAGTTCTCTCATTATGCACATGCTTTAGGATCGTTTATTTTAATGCTTTCAAATAAATATGTTCCATGCAGCACACCGCAATAAATAAGGAGCAGCAACTTTCGTATAGTACATCCATTCATAATGTAAGTCACCATGTGAAACACCACATCTAAAGTCTTTGGCCCAGTCCCATACAGTGAAGCACACCACATCTGCACATAATCATATCTGGCTTCATATGGATTTAATAGGACTATGCCAGAAGGGCAATGTGAGCACAAGTTTAACCAGGGGTTCCTAGCTATTAAATACAGCTACTAAGTAGTTAAAAGGCAACAACTAAACCCATAAAGGTTTGATTTGTCTTTTCTTTCTTACTTTTCAGACAGAAATATAAAGTATGAAAATGCTCTGGATGTTTTCAGCCTTGTGTAAAGCAGTGTGATTAATACGGAATGCTTTGAGCAGTACTGGCATGTAAACTGGCATCGAAAGCCACAGCAAGACTGACTTTGACACTGAACATCGGCATACTCAACAGGGAAAACTGCTGTTCTGACCACGGTGGCCGCTGCTCAATTTCTTCCTCTAGGCTGATAGCTCCACTGCCCCTTCCTCCTCGCTGTCTGCCCGGTTGGCGCGGATTTCCACCAGGGTCCGAGCAAAACGGGTCCATTCGTCGTTGTGCGGAACAGCCAACTAGGGGAGAAACGTAATACGGAATGAGAAGACTGTGTGTGGGGAGGCTGGTCAGATCTTTGGCCCCAAATCCAGGCACCTCCTTTGAGAAGAGCTCCTGCTGCAATCAGTGCAGTTGTGCAAGACGCAGGACTGTGGCATGGGCCTCACACAAAGAACCCCGTGGCCTGGTTACTTCTACAGCTGTAAAGTACAGCCACGTTCCCAGGACAAATCTGGCAGCTTCCTATTCAGGACGGGCTGGAAAGAGTTTTTACAGCCAGTGGCAGAGAGAAAAGCTTTATCTGCTTGACTTTAAGGAAAAGTTTTTTGCTGGAGCATTGTTGCAAAATCTACCCCTCTGTTAACATATTTCAGATTTTCCAAACTAATGAGAGGCCTTGATCTCTACAAATATATACACGTATGTTTAACTTTACACATGTGAGCTGTCCATTTGAAGTCAGTAAGGCTGTGCCTAAGTATAATTGTTTGCAGGACCAAGGTCAATGTGTGTAAGGTAACAGAGACTTCAGAACACTGTATTGAAACTATTTTCTGAAGTTCATTAAAGCTCTTAATAGTAAAATAAATATATTGTGTTATTTTAGTTGCCCTCCTCTACGTTCAGGAATTTACAATTACAAGAAATGCATTATAATGGAAATGTTATACCAAGTGGATACTGCATTACTGGTCTGATTTTTGAAATCATCAGTGCAAGATCCATTTCCATTTAATACCATTGATGTTTCTAATGCAGACCTGTTGAACATTAGGGTTCAAGAGCAATATGTAATCTAAATAGCTAAACTTCCAGAAAAACGCTTTAGTGATATGACAAAATAATACTGCACTCATTTCCAGCTGGATACAACATTGCAATTTCTGGAAGATAATGCAAACTGGGATTGAGACAATTACGAAAAAAATGCAAGCAGTTTTCTCAAAGTACATTTTCATCAGCTGAAATTCCAGAAAATGGCAACAAGCATCCGGATTAACCATGCACATTCTTACTGCCATCTTACAGGCCTGTGATCGTGTCCTGGATATAATATGAAAAAAGAACTGCTTAAATACATCATGCAGTGCTTGGTACTGTAGAAGGCAACTATTTGGAAATAGGAAGCAGTATGATATAGCAAAGGGTATATTGCTGTACACCTTAGAGAAAGGAATACCTTTAGATTAAAGAATGAGTATGACCATAGCTAATCCAGTTTGTGGTACCTAATATGCAGATTATATTGGCTCACTTCTTTTAAAAAAATACCAAAAATAGTATGCTGATTACGTTCGTTTGGAACTAGCAGACTACAGGAGGACAAGAAGCAGGATGGTACACTGCGCTGGAGCGCAATGAAATCCCTCTCCTCTCCTTCCCGCCCAGCAGCCATCGATGTAACTGGAGACTGAGAAAAGGGAGTATTGCAGGAACTAGCAAGCGCCCCTTGGGCAAGAACTTGCATATAAGCCTCATGTTAACCGTGTGGTAAAGCGTTCACGTGCTCTGTTGCAAGTTTAATGTTAATCATGTAGATAGGTATATTTGCAATACTGAACCTAAATATCTCCTCTCTATCTCAGTGGAGCCAGTGAGTTTTCTCAGCTATTTCACGTCTGGCTTTGGCCCTACGTCCAATATTTTGGAGAAAAATATAGTATGTGTTTAAAAGTTTCTCATGTATTGTGCATACTCCAGTAACTCAGTTACATAAGGAAAAGCTGCTTTACAGTAAGTTTGCTTTTTGCCTGTTGAAATACTGAGTATTAAAATCTGTCTCTATTTACTGAGGTTACGGGCTGAGAAGTACAATCTGTGTGAAAGCTATCTCAGCCCTCGGTAATACACGTCCCTGTACTCTGTTGTCTCTGGGTTTTTCCCTCTCCATCTTCCACTTTTTACATTTTTCTCCTTGACTTTTCTCAGGAATATTTACAGGAGTAAATCGTCTGAGACAGCTTGCACTCTCTTTCTCTCTCTCTCATGCACATACATACAGAGCGGTGGACCTGTTATGCTCTGTATTTGAAAGAAAGCTCTGTTATTTGGAAAAATCTGTAACCAAAATGCAGGTCAGTGAGCTGATGTACAGGCCAGCAGGGCACCTTTGGACCCAATCACCCACCTACCCAAGCTACTGCTCAGTAAGTCAAGGGACCATGCAAAGATCCTTCTGTCACAGATGCTGTCAAAACCATCTGAGTAGCAAATTCACTGCTACTGCTGCTGCTGTCCTAAAAGATTTTATTTCTTGTGATATGTATGGCACTGTCATTTATCAAACTGCTGAATGAAAATATGACATGAGCCTGACTTATTTAAAGTAGTAAAATCATGAAAGTGAAACAATATCCAAGGCAAAGGACTTATGAATTTCATAAAGCCACATTACTCCTCGTCTGTGAAAGTCCTAAATGGCATTACGTTGTATTAAATGGCTCAAGAAGACAATATGTCATTCTAAAGAAAAAAAGGAAATACATTTATTACATTGAGATAATTTAATTTCCTTTTCTCCCCAGCACGGCCACAGACAAATAAATACAAAGGCCAGACTGTTAAAACAACTTTAGATCTCGAGCTTCGCTTAACTGACAGTGTTTGCAGGAGCCGAGCCTTTTTAATGACTTAATACACAAAACAATTAATGACTGAAATGAATACATTTAGCACAGAGATGAAAACACTCAGTGTCCACATGCAATCTAATTATTTTAAACTTTGTCTTATTTTACCCCATTAAATCTCATTTACTGCTTGTTGTTTTCAATGAGAGGCCAATCCTGCTAACAGACTCTCAGTAGAACAAGCCCCTCTAACGTAAACTCCTTAGGGACAAGGAGGGGAATCTTGGCCATAGTGAAGTCAAGGGCAAAATTGACTTTTATTCCCCCACTTTATTCTGTGAAGGGTCTAATACTCAACCACATTGCTTGCCACAAAGCAAAAGACCACAAATAAAAACAAAAGCATCCACAAACTGCCATTCAAATTCTCATATGATTTGTGTGTGTGTGTGTGTGTGTGTGTGTGTGTGTGTGTGTGTGAGTGAGTGAGAACGCTCCCCTTCCAGTCATTTTCCATTAAAGTTCCCCCAACTGGGTACACTTCCACACACAAATGTTGGAGGCCTGTGTCTATCTACGACTCTCCATTTCAGCTTTTCTGCACTCACTCATACTGCAAATAGCAGGACAGGGCCAGGGCGTTAGAGCTAGTTAGGGGTTCCTCACTCACTTGGCATTCTTGCCATTTTTCTGTCCGCTTCGAGTACTACGAAGTAACACTTGTAGAGTTCCAGCAGTCACAATCATTACAGGGAGTAGAAACGTTCACTGAGAGATACGAACTTAATACATTTGGGCCATAAAGTTCTTTGAATAAACGGACACCAAGGTATGGAGCAGAACAAGAAAATAAATGTTATTAAATGTTCTCCTTTGATCCCATCACAATGGAACATAAGCACTACCTGCAACTGATAAACTGACTGAATTACTCTGCTTTGCTTTAAATACCATCAGGCTATATTTAGATTGGGTCAGACAGTAATTCTAACGAAGAAAAATAGTATTATCAAAGCAACATGGTGGATTTTGTCTGTTAAGTTATTGTAAGATGGGTAGTTTTCCCTTCTTTCCGGTTTTAAAATATCAAATGAGTTTGAGTAGCAGGCCTACAGACCTGCAAGCGTGGCTACAAGTTTACACATCCAAATAAGCCTGCTCCTCCTTGGGAAGTTGCACGTGCTCTACTGGTTACAACACAAAGAATTTAGGACAGACAATGTGCTCTCAAGAGGTTAAAACGGTAACTACATTTTTACTTGGGTGAAGATATTTAATTCAGGGCAACTGGGATCTTTTTTCATTTCTCACATCAAAGCTTTGTTCGGATCACTATCACTTTTTTAGAATCCCTCCCCCACAAATCACTTCCATAAAAATATTCTTGCAAAAGCACTCGATATCTATAAAATGAGTATTTGTAACTGCTTGCTACATGACCAATAAGGAAATTTCAAGACACATAACATATTCAATACTATGCACATTTACGGTTTTATCATTTCACATAGTTCACAAACTGTTTCTCGCCAATATTCAAAAACTGAGTGATATGATACAAACTCTGAGAATTAACTTTTCCACCAGCTCCATTACTCTGGTTTTAGATAAGCAGATTTCAGGTAAGAAGAGGTGAGTCTCGAATGCTCCTCCTGGATGACAGGCGCAGCGCATGGGCTCCACACCAGCGGGGCGGCCGGAGATGGGAGCCTCCTGGGCAGCACCTCAGGGCACCTGCCTGCAGCCCCCTGTGCCAAGCGAGCTCTGTTCAGACCCCAGCTGAGGCCCCGGCACAGATGTGCAGCCGCCACAATTCATACCACATCCGAGAGCTGCACTGGTAACTTCAGCAAGCCAAGAGGCTGCATTCAGACAGGAACGCTAACTGGATTTCTGCCCAGGCTTTGGGATGTCTTACAGTTACCAGTTTCTGCCCTTAGAGGTAAATAACATTATACCTATGTGAGTCTTCCCCAGCTTACGCCTCCCCCAGCCCACCACACTGGCACGTACCACGGGAAGGCAATTATCAACTGCACAGATGGGATACGAAGCGCCTAGGAAGTGAGGTGCCGGGATGCAGCAACACATGGATTACAAATTAGGAACGTAGATCTCCCTGTCCTCTTGTTCTCCTGCTTCCCCTCAGCCGGAGGTAGCCAGCTCCTGCCCACTCAGTAGTCCTGGCCACATGACCAAAACTGTATCTCGAGGTGCCATCACCGAGTCTTTGGATGTTTTGAAACTGAGGTGCTTCTCTGGGTTTCCTGGGTGATCATTCTAGCAAGCATTTCAAGCATAGTCTTGAAGCATATATAAGTGCTCCACTTAATGCTAATTCTGACCAAGGAGATGGTCTATGTGGTTGTGGCAAGAAAGCATCAGAGCAGCTCGCCCCACGGCTCACTGTGCGAGTCAGACACAGATAGCAGGGCAAAGACTGGGTT